ATGAATCTGAGCAATGCACTCCAGTATCTATGGCATTTTTCTTTAAAGCAAAAGCACACAGCATGCATGCTTCAATTCGCTAAAGTCTAGAAATATATCCCTGCCCTGAAATCCATCCAAAAACAACCTCCAGTGCTCAATTACTGATGGAGTGAGCACCAATACTGCCACCATTACATACAAGTATCCATTCAGTGAGTATTTGTGGAGCACCTACTATGCACCAGGCATTATTCTAAATATGGGGGCTTCAGTAGTACATAAAACAGAGGGAAAGTCCTGCCTTCATTGAGCTTTCATTCTAGAAGGGAGAGAATTAGAAAAGCAAAAACTGAAATGCAGGGTGATATGTGCTATGAAAACAGTAAAGAATAGATAGGAAATGGGGAGTGCCAGGATTTGGGGGAAGACGGGTATAGTCATCAGGGAAGACCTTGCTGAGAAGTGATTTGAGCGAGGCCATTTAGCTATATATCTGGGGGAAGAGCTTTCCAGGCAAAGAGAAGAACATTCACAAAGGCTTGGGTGGGAGCAAGCCTGGATCTTAGAAGATAGCATGGAGGCAAAAGTGCCTGGAAAGGGTGTGAGAAAAGAAGACTAGTGGGAGATTGGAGTGGGGGGCAGATTGTAGACCATGATAATGTGATAATGACTTGGTTCTATGCTGTTGGCAAGCGGTGAGGCCATGGAAAATGTAACGAGAAGAACAGTAAGATCTGACTTACATTCTAAAGACCACTCTGAACGCTACTGCAAATAGGTACTGGGGAAAGAATAGATGAAGGAAGTCTAGTTAAGAGGATATTGATATACTCCAGGCACCAAATGATGGGGACTCGGGTCAAGGTCATAGTGGTGGAGACGTTGGGAAGTGGTTAGATTCTGAAAATATGTTTAGGATAGAGCTGCCAGCATTTGCTGGTAGGTCAGATATAGATTATGAGAAGAAGAGTGAAGTCAAGGGTTTCAGTCTGAGCAACTGAAAGGGTAAAGTTGCCATTTACTGAAATGAGGAAAAGCATCTCAGGGAGGGAAGCAGCTTTTGGGGAAGAAGATGAGGAGTTCAGTTTGGGCTGTGTTAAGCTATAGATGCCTACTGGACATGCAGGTTGAAATGTTGAGTATATGTGAAGTGCAGGGGAGCAGTTCAGGCTTGAGATATATGACAACAGCCATCCACATGCAGATGATATTTCAAGTCATGGCACTAGATGAGAGCACCAAGACAATGAGCAGAGAAGAGGGAAGAGTTTTAAAGATTGAGCCCTGGGACATTTGCATGCATGGCCTTTCAATGCCTCACACAGCCTTCTACCTCATTCCCCTTCTGTACCAGGAGGACTTGCATTGGACAGCAATGCCTCCGTCACCATACTTGGCTTGACCTAAAGAACTTGGGCTTGAGAATTTGAGACACACCTATGTTAGAATGCAATCTCTGGTTCTAAGTCTTCACCTTCCTTGTATTAGCACTATATATCCAGTTCCTTGTCATGGCTGTGTAATGGAAAACAGGTACTTCCCCACTCCCCTGCGCTTGGCCAAGTGACTTGCTTTGTCCAGTGAGATTTTAGCAGTCGCGATACAAGCAGAGGCTTGAAATGTGCTTGCGTGGCTGGGTTTGCCTATTTGCCATTGCCGGGAGAAGAAATGGTTTTGGCATCGTACACCTCCAGCCTGGGATTCAGATTGCAATACATGGAACAAAGCCACCCCAGCCCCCTCACAGACAAGTAAGAGAAAAATAAATGTTTATTATTGTATGCTACTGTGATTTTGTAGCTGCTGGTTATGCAGAAGTAGCTGACTGATACAATACTGACTTATCAACTGTGTAACATTGTTGCCTTAGTTTCTTCATCTACACAAAGACATTTAAACGTGCCCTCTCTCTCTGAATTGTAATGAAGATGAAGTAACATAGTACACACAAAATTCTTGTTATAATGCCTAGCACAACGTAGGTAGGTACGTGTTAAAAGTTAACATCCTCAGATTCCTCCCCTGGAGTTGATGGTCAACAATGACTTCCCATACACGCTAGCATAGGCTCCAAGAGTAATAAGATTTTTGTCAATAAAGGGTCACCCCTGCCAAAGAGAAGGAGTAGGTGTCCAGGTTGCTTTGCCAATTGCCTTCATCATTCAGAATTTTAACACAAGCTACAGCAATGTAATTTCTTTGGTTTCTTGATAAACAACTAGAGCCAGAAAAGCCAGCAAATCCAGTTTCATCATTTCTTCCTGGGACCCACTACCTTTAGAAATATAAGCCTGTTTCAACAGTGCACTTAGGATATCTTATGTCCCTTGAGAAATAACTGGCTTTTGTTTATGACGAGCCTGAATGCATGCACATGTGCACACGCTACACCATACATACTGCCCTTCATCATCCCAGGCTTTTGTTCATCAAAATAATAGCAAGTGGTGGCATAAAGCCATTCTCTGAGAAATAATTCATTACAAACAAAATCATCCAAATGCCAGTTCTTCTGCCCAGAATGACCTTCAATGGGATAGCTTTTGAAGACTCACCTGCAGCAGTCGGTGGCGGTAACACAACATTAACTCCAACAATGCTTATTGCTTCAATGGGATGTCACTGGCTTTGGCTAATTCTTTTTATACCTTCACTTTTTGAAACTGACCTTTAATCTTTACAATCAGAATGCAAACAGTTCAACAGCTCAGGCGGCTTTTTTTTTTTTTTTTTTTTTTTTTTTTTTTTTTTTGAGGCTGTAGTGATGAGCTGAATAACATCTTCCTAAATGCCCCCAGCTTTTTGGGTAAAGTAAGAAGGAAAAGTGTAAGCAAGGCTATGGGGGTGCCTTTGTATAGGTCCAGGGCAGCTAGTCTATAGAAAAATGTAATCAACTACAGAGGGGGGAAAAAAGGCATTTTACAGGTATGAATCCCAGTCTGCAAAAACAGGATGAGTGATGAATATTCAGTTCTTTATCTTCTTAAATACATACAGTGTGACAAGAAATTTAGTCCAGTCCATATTGAGATTTAACCCAGGCTATGTTCTAAGGGTCTTATATAAGATCAATACATCAGGAAGGCTCTTCCTGGTATGGGTCCATGCTAGGTACCACCAGGATGCCTGTTGTACCAGTATTCATTGCCTTGAAGCAGTGGGTCTCAGTTGCCATGCATACATGATGTCTCAGCATCTTTACCAAGGCTTGCACCCCAGTGCCTGGGGACTAGCCTTCCAAAGCATATTGTAGGGATACTCCTCAGAGGCCATAGCCTGCTCTGTGGTTGGCCACAAAGAGGTCATGAGGATCCTCTCATGTCACTCCTACAATTGTTTGTTAACTGACCTCTGATCTCTCTTTTAGTGTCTCAGCAAAATTTGCCCTCTCTTCTGCCAATTGTTCCCAGAGACAGCCTCTCTCTTCTAGCTACCTTAAGCTTTCTTAGTACCTCTTTCAAAACGTTTTGACTTTTGAAAAGAAATGATAGAAAAGAAAAGCTCACACATTAGGAATTGCCTTCATCTGGATTTCCCAAAAAGTAGAGCCTGAGGCAAAGGCTTGTGCAGATAATTTGCTAAGAAGTCAACACCCAGGGAGCCAGAGTAAGGGGTAGGGAGAGTGGAACAGAAAAGGAGGGAGAAACTGGTGTGAGCCCAATTTGAGCTGGTCATCTCTGAGTGGTCACTGATCCCTCAGTCTCACCGGACCATCCTCTAAGAGGCTGAAAAAATTTCATCTCAGTACCATCTATCTTACTGGGGTGGGGAGGGAAGAAGGGAAAATATCCACCACTTCCCATAGTTCACTAATCAAAACTCATCCCATAAAGGTTGCTGTGGTCCAAATGTGTGTTTTCTCAAAATTTGTATGTTAAAACCTAACCCCTGATGTAATGGTATTAGGAGGCAGGACCTTTGGAAAGTCACTAGGTCATGAGGGCTCATAAGGGATTTGGCCTTATAAAGGAGGTCCCAGGGAGTTGCCTTATCCCTTCCACTATGTGAAGACATAGATAGAAGGCACGATCTATGAACCAGAAAGTGGGCCCTCATCAGACACCAGACCTGCCAGCACCTTGATCTTGAACTTCCCAGCCTCCAGAACTGTGAGAAATTAACTTCTATTGTTTATAAGCAACCCAGTCTATGGTATTTTGTTATAGCAGCTTGAGTGGATTAATTTTTCCACAATTCCAGTTGTACATATCTAGGTGCCAAGCACAATACTGCACAGATCCACACCTTGATGTCAACCAAGAAACACTCAGGTGGAACCAAAAGGCTCTCAGGTAGCACCTGTGTAAAGTTGGTTGAAGCCACACGGTTGGTCATCTCAGAGACATCTGAAATCTGAAACAGATGAGACCAGGGTCATATGAAGGGTTGCTGAAGAAGTATGTGAGATAGCAATGCATGAGTGTGCACTAAAAGGAACTATGAATGATGTTTTACCAAACATACTAGCATTGTTAAATATGTACACATATTGTATAAATTACATACACAATATATAACATATATAATAATATATATAAATGTAAAAATTAGTATATGCATACAATATGTTTATTTATATTAAATATATATTACATTCCAAATTCAAATTAGCATTGTCTCTATCAAGGTTGCCATTCATTCATTCACTCAAGTGTTTGTTGGATTCTCAGGCTAGCAATGACCAAAACAGGTAAAGTCCCTGTCCAAGGATGATACTATTTGAAAAAATATTTGTGAAACTTCTTTTGCCTTAAAAGTCAGCATTGAATTCTTTTAATATCTTTAACCATCTCAAATCTTTCTTTTTATGGATCCATTTGATTTTGGGGGATTACCAACAGCCAAAACATTCAGATTAAGAAATGGTCAACCTAGGTAATAAAGCTATTAATCAAAACAGAGATGTTAACATACAAAAACAGACTCAATTTCTTATAGAGTATTCTAGAAAATGCAAAAATTAGTAGGAGATTGTACATTTTAAAAAGTAGAGTTAACTTACATTTTCTGAGACTTACCTCTTTTTAATGTGAGAGCATTACTTTGGAAGAGACAGCAAGATAAGTGCTAAGTTGCTTCTTCATAATCTTCCCTCTTATTCTATGACATTTCAGGAATATATGACAATCCTTAAAATGCTGACACTTTTCTCACTTAAGAATGAAGATAGAAATAAAAGAGATTTCTTCTCTTTGTGCAGAAAGTATACAAGCAACTCTATAGTCTCCTTCTAAAATGGAGATCACTTGGAGACTCCAGATGAATGTTTATTATCTTTTTTAAAAAAAATTAACAGAGATAATCTACAACTTATTCTACAATAAAAACTTATAAAATTTGAAATGGAAAATCATACCAGTCTTAAAAATCATGTCCTGTTCATATTTTTTGTTCATCAATTGTTCTGTTGGTCTTTTCCACAAATATCAATATGCCCTTCAAACAATATATCTGAGGATCTCTATAATTGCATGCCCCTATTCTACAAATGAGGAAACTGAGGCCCAGAGAGAAGATGAATCTTAGCCAAAGTCACTCCATTAATTGTTGACTTATGTAAGAGTTGAACTCCTGGTGCAGAAATTTTTCCTATATACTAACCCTCACAGAGGGGATATTAAAAATAACTTAAAATTTTTTAACCTATTTCCTCCTTTGTCATACAAGGCCAGCTCATTATGCACAGCAATTCAACTCAGCCTCAAAGTTTGCTTATGCTAATTATTTCATTGCTCAGCCAACCAAAAATCTATCCAGGTAACCAGGCTCCTTCAAAAACAACCACTGATCATCCATTTTCACTTAGACATACTATTCGGGGCCTCAGCTCCAACCCTCATTCCACTGCCACCCCAACAGCTTCCAAATGTGGTTTTCTCCATCTCATTACACATATGAATATATAGATAATATTTTTATATTAAAGATAGATTTTACTCTTCCAGACCTTCATTCATCATTCATCCACTTATTCAACAAATATTAAGTAAGACCCTACTTAACATGTCAGGCTCTGTTCTAATAAAAATATCAGAAACATCTCCCCAAGTCCCAAAATACAGTTCTGCGATATTGTCTCAAATGGCTGCTTGATATTTCATTGTGTAATTGTACCAAAGTGTATCTGGTGAGTAATGATCCTGATGGTCTACTCTTCCATGGATCTATCCTTTGTCCTCTGTGAAGATGATGCCATCTCCAAGCATTCTTGTCTGCTAGAATAAAACACTGCAGTCCCTCTTATCATATATACTTTAACTTCATTTGATTAAATCTTGAAGAAGAATGTGCAACAATAAGGAGCTCTCACCTTTTTCTAACTGAGGAAACAGAAGTGTTCATTATTTCTTCAGTCATTCAACCAGAATTCATCAAGTCCCTCGTTTAGGTCAAGTGAGGTGATGGAGCTAGCAATATGGAGATAACTAAGGCACAAACACTTCACTAAAAAAGTGTCACAATCAGATGACGGACTTTTCCTGAAGTTAGGCGATTAATCTCCAGCTGAACCAGAGAAAGGATGGAGCCAGCTTTACCAATTTTTGATCCAGAATGTGACTCCAATTTGTATCTCTTACTCCTGCGCAGGTCTTTTCGTTCAGTTGTAGGACCCATATGTGTTATCCATTGTTACATAACAAAGTACCCCAAAGTTTAGCAGCTTAAAATGCCAAACACTTACTATCTCACAATTCCTGTGGGTCAGACACTTGGAGTGGCTCATCGGGCAATTCAGGCTCAGAGTCTCAGGACTGGCTGGGGCTGAACCACCCACTTCCAAGAGGGCTCAGTCATGTGACTGTTTGCAAGAAGTCTCATTTCTTTCTGGTTGTTAGTAGGACACCTCCCTTCCTGGCCATGTGGACTTCTCCATAGGGCTGCTTGAGTGTCCTCGTGTCGTGGCAGCTGCCTTCCCCTAGGGTAAGTGATCTAAGAGAGAGAGAGGTGGGATCCATGAACAGCCCTTTATGACCTGGCCGTGGAACTACCATCACTTCTGCTCTGTGCTGCTAGTCACCCAGACCAACAACCCCAGTATGATAGGGGAGGGAACTGCACGAGGGTGTGTAAACTAGGAGGCAGGGGTCACTGGGACCCATCTTGGAGGTTGACTTAGAAGCTTTAGCAATTTAAAAATCCCTTGTATCAGTTAATACCAATTTGCTGGTGAGTATATGTGGTGCTTGTTTTTCCATTCTTTGGATACTTCACTTAGTAGAATGGGTTCCAGCTCTATCCAGGAAAATACAAGAGGTGAGATATATATATATATATATCTCACCGTTGTTTCTCAGAGCTGAATAGTACTCCATGGTATACATATACCACAGCACGATAGAATCACTATATGAGACTCTGTAATTGTTACTTTTGCTAAAGGTTTTAGTCCATATTTTATCCAGATGAATTAAATAAACAAACATGGATTCAGAGAAAGAAAGAAAAATAAATAAATAAAAATCCCTTGTAGCCGAAAAATGTTAATATTTACTTTAATAGATGATTTCATATGAGGATCACAGAATAATTAAAAACTGCCCCTAGCTTCACGAGAGGTAATAGAATAAAAACTAGAAAGAAGGAAAGGAGCTTTAAGATTATTTTTCTAGTCTCCTAATTTGATCTGTATTTCTGGGTACCCAATGAGGTGAATGAAACTTTAAAACAAGAAATTATACCAACCACTTCTCTGAACAGGGATAGAGACAGACAATCACTTTTAAAAAGATTTTCTTTATTACAATAAAAGGTTTCTGAGAGGTGTGCCTCGTTTCATAAAGGTAAGGCAAGCAGGCACCCAAGTCCCTGGAGAAAACGTGTAATAGGACCACTTATTTTTTGTGTGTTCTCCAAGATTACCTGTCCCAATATCCCTTGCTGTGCAGAGCTCTAGGGAGGGTGACACTCATATTGCCTAGAGACTCCAGGAACCTTCTGGGAAAATGCTTTCAAAATCCTAATCCCTGTCTCCAAAAGCGAAGGAAACCTGTCTAGATAGACGAGGTGATTCTGACAAAGGCCCAAAAGTAGGAAAAGCAATGAGGCTCTAGAAATGCACGGACCATGAGCACAGGCCCTGGTCCCAGGTTGGTGAGAAGCAGTGTGGGCATCGAGTCTCTGTAGGCTGGCAGCACTGGACATCACCTGCACAGGGTAATGGACAGTGAATATGCAGTGCTCCAGGGGGACTGGCTCTTACCTCTTAAATGAGGAGTGAATCTGCAGAGCGTTGAGAATCCTGAGCAGTCCTTTGGGTGAGCCTAAGCCTGGGGACTAAAGTTGTCTCCTGTGGAGACAATGCACAGGTGTGTAGAGACAAGCACTGCTGGGGGCCAACCACAGGGAACCTGAGGATTAAGGCAGAAAGTGGAGATAAGAGATGGCAAAAAACTGACTCTTATCAGAGCTTAAAGCTGTGGACCCAGTCACACCTGAAGCCTAGCACTTACGCTGGCGAATGAGTACCTGGGGTGGTTTTCTTTCTTGGTTTTTTTGTTTGTTTGTTTTCCTGGCTTTATGGAACGCAGGTCTACAGAATTGGATTAATCATAGTCCTTGATTCATGACAGCTGTTAGTCTAAACACAAACCTTTTTACATCATTTTAACAATATAATGAATGCCCATAATTCTTTACCCCAACCAGGAATAATAACCTAATAGCAGTATTGAATGTGTCCTCCTCAATTTCCTGTGCTGAAGTCCTAGCCCCAAGTGCCTCAGAGTGTGACCTTATTTAGAAATGGAATCATTACAGATGTAATTAGTTAAGATGAGGTTATTAGGGTGGGCTGTAATCCAATATGAGGAGTATCCTAATAAAAAGAGGAAATCTGAACACAGAGACAAACGCACATAAAGAGACCCAGGAGAGGCCTGGAAGAGATCCTGTCCTCACCACCCTCGTAGGAACCACCCTTGATTTTGGACTTCTAGCTTCCAGAATTGTGAGACCATAAATTTCTGTTGCTTAAGCCACCCAGTTTGTGGTACTTTTTATGGCATCTTCAGAAAGCCAGTATGAGCAGCAACCTACATGTCCCAACATGCTCTTCCCATCCCGCCTTCCTGCCTTCTCTGAAGAAGAATTAACATGTGCTGAATTTTGCATTTATCATTATTTATCACTGTCTTCCTTTACTATTGTGTGTATAGATATATATGCACACGTACACTGTGAAATTTAAGTGTATTTGATTTTTGAATTCTATAAAAAGGGCATCATAATATATGTTGTCTTCTGGGACTTGTTTGTTTATTTATTTATTTTTGAGACAGAGTCTCACTTTGTTGCTTGGACTAGAGTGCCATGGTGTCAGCCTAGCTCACAGCAACCTCAAACTCCTGGGCTCAAGCGAACCTCCTGCCTCAGCCTCCTGAGTAGCTGGGACTACAGGCACTCACCATCACACCTGGCTAACTTTTGGTTCTATTTTTAGTTATCTGGCTAATATTTTCTATTTTTAGTATAGACAGGGTCTCACTCTTGCTCAGGCTGGTCTCGAACTCCTGACCTCAAACAATCCTCTCCCTCAGCCTCCCAAAGTGCCAGGATTACAGGTGTGAGCTGCCACACCTGGCCAAAGGGACTTGCTTTTGTGACTCAAAATTATTTACAAAGATTTATCCATCTGTTGTGTGTGGCTGTAGTTTATTTCATGTCACTACTGATTAATATTCCATAATATTAGAATATTGGTGATGATATGATGATACCTCAATTTATTCATTATGTGGCTTTGGAGAGTAGAAGAGAATGCAAAACCCTCCCAAACACACCTCCGAAAAGCTGCCCCATGGCCTTAACACCGTGGAGTCCTATCCTAAAGCAATCCATTTCTGATGGCAGTTGTGGCAACTTCATGCTTAAGAAGTTGGGTTCTGTAGTTCTGTGGTTGGGTTTCTAATTTAAACCCCACAAGACAAAAGAAGCAATAGGGATTCCTGGGGATAAAGGGGGGAATTTAACAAAGAATTGCAGCAGACACTGTGACTAAGATAACTTAGTATCCCCTTCCTTTCTCCCTTAGTTTGCCTCCAAGGTAAAGCTCAACTCTGTAGAATAAAATCCTGTAGTACCACAGTGCGCTCAGCAATAACATAATCACAACCTGGGTCAAATCTATGGGTTGAATTTCTCTTCTTCAGAAGGGGTGTGTGGCTAGGAAGTGACTTTGAAAGTTTCTCAGTTCAGTGGATGGTCAGCTGAATACAGTAAATTTTTCACCATTATTACATAATGGTACATATGGACTAAAAAATATTATTTTTCTTTTAAACTTTGAAGCAATGCAACCCTGCAGTGTATGCAATTACATTTTTGGACCCCACTAAAGATATCATGGCAGAATTTCACTGTATTTACTTGCCCACAAATTTAGGATTGACCATGTGACACAATTTGGACCAATCAGACCTGAGCATGAGTCTATTAGAGGGATTGGGAGAAAGTTTTGTGTTCTTCTTCTTGGGGAAAAAAAAAGGCATTAAAAAAGCATTCACAGCTGCTGCCACATTCTTCCTCCCTCGCCCCTTTTATAGCAGCCTTGAAAGAGGATTTGCTGCCTCTAGCTATGGTGGCCAACTCACCACCAAAGGCAAGCAGATAAGAAAACTGCAGAGGCAGCAGTCCTGACATAATCGAGCCACTGAACTAAAGCCAGCAGCTGCCTACCCCCAGAATTCACATTATGCAAGAAAAATAAACATTTATATATTTAAGTCACTGTTAGTCAGAGTTTTTGTTACTTGCGGCCAAAAACATTACTGATTAACACAGAGATGGACTAGATTTCCTGCTGCCGTGGGTGTAAAAGGGTCTGAGAACTGCATTTTGGAACTCTACTTGTGAAGGAGAAAATATTTGAATATTCAAGTCACTAAATATAAAGTCAAACTACCCCTCAGATACTTATAGATGGGTAAACTGAGGCTCAAGGAAGGAAAGTGATTTTGGTGTGTGGTTTCATAAGCGTGGCAGGGGCAAGCCTCTGGAAAGAACAAATACGTGTATACATTTTTTAAAATGCAACTGATGCTGAGAATGGTAGATACCGACTTCTCCCAATTCCCAGCCCTATAACTTCAGTTGTTTTATTTTCAACTTGACTTTCAATTCACTGGTCTTAGTTTTATCTCAATTTGCCTCCCACTTAGCAGAAAGCATCTCCCACAACCAAAAGTTATGTATCAGTTGCATGACTCTTTCTCTTTGTGAAACAATACTGACATTCTTGGACCCAGAATCCCTATGAAACACCTGTTTCAATTAAGTTAAATCTCAGGTATTTGCAGAAAATTCTAAGTGTTGGTGATGGTTTGATGCTGTATGAGGTCTGACTCCCTGTGCTTTCTTTTTCTTTTCTTTTCCAAACATCCTCCACCCAACA